GCATTAACCATCAGGGCTAGCATCTTTGAATTCCTATTTTTTTCTCAGTCCTTATCTTTCTTTCCTGATTTATTAGTCTCCATTAACCATATAAGTGTCTTCTTTTCTGCCTTTATCAAATGACTATCAAGCCACAGGCACAGCATTAAGGAAATTCTAAATCAACCACAATAAAAGCAAAACAAAAATAAAACAATGCTGCCATGAACTAAGCGTTTTTGTTTACTTTTTACATTTGCTTATGTGAATAAATCTTTCATCTAATGCTTGGAATAAATAAATTATATCTATTTTAATACAGTTAATTTGCATTTACAGTTAAATAGAGATTTAGTTATCCAGTTAAAAATTACCTGAATTATATCTTCCTTTAGTGGGTAGAGTCAAACGTAGTTCTCACTCTTTTCTCAGATGGTGTAACTATTTCTAAAATGGTAGCCTAAGGCTTTTATAAAGAAGACATCTTTGCAGACAATATACATTGACTTTCTCCTCACCAGGACTCTCTTCAACTCACAGCAGTGACCCTAATTTCTTTTAACTTGAGCAAAGTTTCTTTAGCTCCCAAAGGGAAGATGGTACAAGTTGGAGTCAAGGTCCCATGATTAATGAACACATCTTTTTCCATGTTACAACTCAAAATTGGCATTTATATTGGATGAAGTGTATTCAACTCACTGAGGAAGAAGAGGATGTGAAAAAAGATCAGAATTCAAATTGGTTCAGTTTGGTAGTTAAAATTCTAGTCAGGTTAGCAGAGGGAACTGACGCTGATTTTTTTTTTTTCATGTTCTTCTCTTCTGTGTTCTTTGCCTTAAAATTGTTCAGAAAATCTACTTGCAGCAATTTGGTATCATTAAGTGACTGAGAGCATGCACCAAGAGAATCAGTCAGTTCCTCTTCCTTCCAACGAAGAGCTCTCTGTGTGTGGATTGATGCGCAAGTTTTCTCTCCTGTATTTACTACTCTAATGACCTGAACCATTTGCTGAGGCCTCGCGTAGCAGACATGGGCAGCAGCAGTGGTGATTTTGGGCTCACACCATGTGTTGTCTTGCTGATGTTGTTCAAAGAATCAGATATTCTAAACATCGTCAATTCGTCATAGCTGTAAAGATGGAACCTAAGGGGAAGAATGACTAAGATAACATTGGTACCCAGTGTGATTGGTACCTACCTCGCTCCTGTTTGATTCTGTCTTCTCTTTTAAGGAAAGTGATCAGAGTAGAAAATATAGGGAAAGAATGCCCAGAAGGTTGAAAACTGAGAAGCATATTCCTAAGGATTTCTATTTTTCAGCAATAAGCAAGCCTTATCTATCTTAGGTTAATTCACTAAATCTACTTAAAAGTAATAAAGTATTGTTTCCTTAAAAAAAATTACAAACGTGTCACTAATTAATCTTGACCCTCTTTTTGGTTTATTCATTCATTCATTTATAATCCAACATATATTTGAATCTACGTGCCACAAACTAGGGATGCAGCAGTGGGGACAATCCAGTCCTTCCACTAATGTAGTTTATACACTAGCAGGAAAGATAGATTCTGAACAAGTAATTGCTCATGAGTTGAGAAATATGAAGTAGAAGTACAAGGTACTATGAAAGCTTACAACAAAATGTTTTAGGTTAAGTTGCCCAGAAGCAGACCGTGAGACAAGGATTTTTGTGCAAGAGAAGTGCTAATCCGGAGAAACCAGGAAGGAAATGAGGGAAGCCTGAGAAGAAGGGGGAAGAGGCCAAGCAAAGGCACAATTTCTGGAAAGTACCTTCAGCCTGATGCTGCAAGGGAACTCTGGAGTGTAAATTACACCTCAGAGTTTACCCTGAGCCAAGGCAAGTAAGCTGGGCTTTTATCCTGCCATACCATCTGTCACCTGTAAAGGAGGGATGTGGAGCAAAGGTATGGGCATGGTGGTGGTGAGAATGTAAAGTCCAGATACTTCCAGCTTTCTGCACAAGTGGCTCTGGTAGCCTGAGGAAAGTAGGCTAAAGAAGAGTGGCAGGTGTAGCCCACTGGAAGCAAAATTGCATAAAATCTGGGAGCAGGCAGACAGAAATGATACAGGGATCTAAGGGGGACCTGGGCATAACATGAACCCGTTCCATTAGTGTGGCATCTTTTGTGTTGCTCTGATCATTTGCATCTAACATTAAATGTACTCTACCCTGACACAGCTTCTTCAAGATGGTGGTCGTTATAATTTCTAGGGAAAAATTTACAAGAATTAGTTGGATGAGCTACAACCCTTGTTCCTGCATTTGGTCCCAAGGCCATAATTGATTTTCATCATCCTTTTCCTCTATCACATATTTTAAATTCCTCTCAATCTTAGCTAGCTCTTCTGCTGGTCCACGTGGCTTACCAGATGGGGCAACCTAGACTTTCATCCCTTGGTGGTTACGCCCTGATCAAGGCTATGGTTGTTGTAACTGCCCATTTACAGTTGAAACTAGGAACAGAAGCACCAAGCTCCTAGTTTGTGGAATGTTTTTATCATGAGTAGGTAATGAGTTTTGCCAAACATTTATCTGCATGTACTGTGGTGATCATCTGATTTTTTTCTTTTATTTGGTTATTGTGGTGAGTTGCATTTATTATTTTTTGTATGTTGAATCAACCTTGCTGTTTCAGATTGTGTTTACCAAAAGCCAAAGCTGAGGTGGATTTTGGGGTGATTTTTTTTAGGGATCAACACTTGTGAAAGTAAGAGGAAGGAAGCTCTGTTATTAGGTCTAATCATATTTAGGATTGGTATATCTTCCTGAGGAATGGCCCATTTACAATTAGGAAATATCTCTCTTTATATTTTATAATATTCTTTGCCTTGAAGTCTATAGAAGTTGGTATTAATAATAGTCATGCCAGCTTTCTTTATCTTATTGTTTGGATGGTGTCTTCTTCCATCTTTACACTTTCAATCTATTTTTGTGCTTCGATTTAAAGTACATATCTAAGCCTGCTTTTTTTTTTTTTATCTAGTATGACAATCTCCCCTTTTCTTGAACAATATTTTATTTTCTATATAATTAACAATATCCTAGATTGTTTGATTAATAAACTTTATTTTTTAGAGTAGTTTTAGGTTGAGTGCAAAGTGCAGCGAGTTCACATATATCCCCTTTTCTTGTCTTGTTGAATTATCTAGGACTTCCAGTACAATGCTGAAAATCCATGGTGAGAGGGGACATCCTTACCTTGTACCTGATCTTAGTAGGAAAGCTCCTAGTTTCTCACCATTAAGGATGATATTAGCTATAAGTTTTGTAGAGCTATAAGTTTTGTAGATCTTTATCAAGTTGAGTAAGTTCCCTTCTACTCCTAGTTTGCTGAGAGTTTTTACCATGAATAGGTGTTGAATTTTGTCAAATGCTTTTTCTGCATCAGTTGATATGATCATGTGATTTTTCTTCTTTAGTCTGTTAATATGATGGATTGTATTAACTGATTTTTGAATATTGAACCAGCCTTGCATACCTGGGATAAATCCTACTTGGTTGTAGTATATAATTCCTTTTATACATTATTGGATTTGATTTGCTAATATTATTTGAGGATTTTTGCATCTATGTTCATGAGAAATATCCATCTGTAGTTTTCTTTTCTGCAATGTTTTTGTCTGGTTTTGGTATTAGAGTAATGCTTGCCTCGTAGAATGAGTTAGGATATATTCCCTCTGCTTCTATCTTCTGGAAGAGATTGTAGAGAATTGGTATAGTTTCTTCCTTAAATGTTTGGTAGAATTCACCAGTGATCCCATCTGGGCCTAGTGCTTTCTGTTTTGGAAGATTATTAATTATTAATTCAAGTTCTTCAATAGATATAGACCTATTCAGATTGTCTATTTCTTTTTGGGTGTTTTGGAAGATTGTGTCTTTCAAGGAATTGGTCTATTTTATCTAGGTTATCAAGTTTGTGTACAAAGAGTTGTTCATAATATTCCTGCATGATTCTTTTAATGTCCGTAGGATCTTATGTGATGTCTGCTCTAACACTTCTGATTCTAGTAATGACTCTTCTTTCTTATTTTCTTAGTTAGCCTTGCTAGAAGCTTATCAATTTTATCGATACTGTCAAGCCACATAGAGCCTGGCCCATTTGATTTTTTTTTCAAATTTTTTAACATATGATTTCATAAAGACAGGCAAAAATGTGAGGCATACCTTGGTTTATGGAGATATAAATTTTTTTTTTTCTTTCTGTTCCTCAGTCTCAAAAATTCTCATTGTCCTATCTTCATGCACACCGATTCTTTCTTCTGCCTGCTCAAATCTGCCTTTGAATCCATTTATTGAATTATTCACTTCAGTTATTGAACTTTTCAGCTCCAGAATTTTTTCTAGTTTTATTTTAGGTTTTCTACCTCTTTAGGGATATTTCTATTTTGTTTGTATATCATTTTCTTGACTTTCTCCACATCTTTCTTTAGTCCTTTGAGCATCTTTAAGATAGTTGTTTTAAAGTCTTTGTCTAGCATATCTGCCATCAGGTCTTTTTTGGAGACAGTTTCTGTTGAATTATTTTTTTCCTTTGAATGGGTCATACTTTCTTGTTTCTTTGTATGCCTTGTGATTTTGTTGTTGTTGAAAACTGGACATTTGAATCTAACAGTGTAACTCTGGAAATCAGATTCTCCGCATTCCACAGGGTTTTCTGTTTTTTGTTATTATTTTTGCTCATTGTTTTTTGTTTTTGATTGTTGTAGGCTGTCTCTGCTGAGAATGAGCCTGAAGTATAAACTTAAGGTTTTTCGGGTCTTTTCCGAGCATTTCCCTGGGCCTACGCAGTTACTTTCTAATTTTTCCCATATGTGCGGTTGTTTTTGAATGTGCTAGTCTTTAATATCTGGCTCCCAAAAGGGGAAAAAGAGAAAAGTGAAGGGGGAAGGGCTCTGGCCCTTTAAATCTCCTGCAAGTCACTTCAGCCATAGGGGAGGGGTTTACAACAATGGGAGGAGGTGCAACAACAATGGCCGTCTGCCTCTTTGAATCTCTGTGATCAGAATCAGCAATGAGAGCACAGATTCTGCGTATTTGGAGGAGAGGGTCCTTTCTGCCCACCCTGGATCTCACAGGCTGTGTACAGGCTGCTCCAGGAACACATGCACAGCTGTCTGCTATGTAGCTGTGGTGTGGGGGTTGGGTAGCTGCTACTGTGCTAGGAGCTGAAATTAAGCACAATTAACCACTCTTTACCATCCAAGGCCTCTTCTGGAGGTTGCAAGCCTTCAATAGACTCCAGAGTTCCAAATGGTTACATCAGGCAGATTCTGTCAGAGCGATTGTTAAATAGGTGAGGAGACGGATTCCTGGCGCTCCCTACTCTGCCATCTTCCCGGAATCGTTGAGTCCCCTTCGCTTTGAATCTATATATGTCGTTATCTTTAAAGTATATTTCTTGTAGACAACATATAGTTGGGTCTTATTTATTGATCCATTCTGATCATCTCTGTCTTTTAATGGGCATATTTAGACAATTGGAGTTTAAAGTGATTATTGATATAGCTGGATTAAAATCTAGCATATTTTTTCCATTTGTTGCTCCTGGTTCTACTATTTTTGTCTTCTATACTTTTTCTACCTTTTGTGGTTTTAAATTAGTATCTTTTATGATTCCATTTTCTCTCCTTTCTTAACATACTAATTATATATTTTTTCAACTTTTTTTAGTCCTAGAGTTTGCAATATATTGTTACAACAAATCCAAGTCTGCTTTCAAATAACACTATACTGTTTCATGGATAGTGCAAGTATTTTATAAAAGAAAAATAGTCCTAATTCCTCCCTCCTGTCGCTTATATCGTTGCTATCATTCATTTTACTTATACATAGACATACATATACATGTATAATAGCATATATACATGTCTATAATAAGCATACATAATTGAATAGATTGTTGCTGTTATTTTGAACAAACTCTTATCTGTTATATCAATAAAGAATAAAAAAAGTGTCTATTTTACCCTTATTTATTAATTCTCCAATGCTCGTCTTTTCTTTATGTCGATCTGAATTTTAGACCTTTATCATTTTCCTTCTCTTTGAAGAACTTCTTTCAACATTTCTTGCAGGGCAGGTCTCCTGAAAACAAATTCCCTCAATTTTTGTTTGTCCAAGAAAGTCTTTATTTCTCCTTCACTTTTGAAGGATAATTTCATAAGGTACAGAATTATAGGCTGGTGGGTTTTTTTTCCTCTCAACACTGTAAATGTTTCATTCCACTCTTTTTTTGCTTGCATGGTTTCTGAGGAGAAGTTGGATGTAATTCTGATCTTTGCTTCTCTATACGTAAGGTGTTTTTTCCTTTGGTTTCTTTCAAGATTCTTTCTTTATCTTTGATTTTCTGAAGTTTGAATATGATATGCCAAAGTGTAGTTTTTTTGGCATTTATCCTGCTTGGTGTTCTCTGAACTTCCTAGATCTATAGTTTGGTGTTTGACGTTAATTTAGGGGAAATTCTCAGTCATTATTGCTTCAAATATTGCTTCTGTTTCTTTCTCTCTTTCTTCTTCTGGTATTCTCATTACATATATGTCACACCTTTGTAGTTGTCCCACAGTTCTTGGATATTCTGTCTTTTTTTTTTCCCCACTGTTTTTTTCTCTTTGCTTTTCAGTTTTGGAAGTTTGTATTGTTATATCCTCAAGCTCAGAGATTTTTTCCTCAGCTGTGTCAAGTCTACTAATGAGCCTATCAAAGGCATTCTTCATTTCTATTACAGTGTTTTTGATATCTAGTATTTATTTTTGATTCTTTTGTAGAATTCCATCTCTCTGCTTACATTATCCATCTTTTCTTGCATGTTGTCTACCTTTTCCATTAAAGCTCTTAACATATTAATCATAGCTTTTTGTTTGTTTGTTTTTTAATTCCTGGTGTGATATTTCCAACATTCCTCTTATTTTTGGTTCTGGTTCTAATCCTTGTTGAGTCTCTTCAAATTGTGGGGGTTTTTTTTCATTTTAGCATGTATTATAAATTTTTTTGTTGAAAAGTGGACATGATATACTGGATAAAAGGCCTTTAGTAATGTAGTGGTAAGATGTGGGGAGGAGGGGTGGGGAGCATTCTATAGTCCTACGATTAGGTCTTGGTCTCATAGTGAGCCTGAGCCCCTGGACTGTGAATTTTACCAGTGCTTCTCAACTCTTTCTTCCCTTAGGTGAGACAGAATGGCTAGATGGGGCTTCAGTTGGATATTTCCCTTCCCCCAGGTAGGTTAGGCTCTGATAAAATGCCAGCAGGTTAGGCTTTTGTAAAATAGCTTCTCCTGAGGGAAGACCTTGTTAAGGAGAATAGAATGCTCTGGAATATTTTAAAATGGTTTCTTGGACCGGCCCGGTGGTGTACTGGTTAAGTTTGCACACTCTGCTTCGGCAGCCCGTGTTTGTGGGTTTGGATCCTGGACGCGGACTTACACCACTCACCAAGACTTGCGGTGGTGGTAACCCACATACAAAATAGAGGAAGATTGGCACAGATGTTAGCACAGGGACACTCTTCCTCAAGCAAAAAGAGAAAGATTGGCAATAGGTGTTAGCTCAGGGCCAATCTTCCTCACCAAAAAAAAATTAAAATAATTAAACAGATAAAATGGTTTCTTTTCTCCTCCCTTGCTGGAAGTATGAAGAGATCTTTCTCTGGTGTTCACTGTGAGGACCTGGTTGAGCTCCTGGAGGTAAAACTCCCAAAAGTGTGGGGGCGCCCCTATGACTGGGTCGTCTGGAGTTTTAAACCCTCAGACTTGCCCACACTGAGCATCTAGCAATTCATCAATGACAAGTTAGGTTTTCCTACCCAGCACTGGTTCCTGTGGAGGTTTCTGCTCATGAGTTTCTTCTCCAGTAAGTTGTGATTCTGTGTATTTGTCTTTCTGTCTCCCCAGTTTTGGGGACATCAGTTTGCCCTGTGACCTCACTTCTTTAAGAAGATTTGTTGATTTTTCAGTTTGTTCAGCTTTTCACCTGTTATGATGGAATGATGGCTTTTAAGCTTCTTACATGCCAGACAAGAAACCAGAAGTCCAATCTCTGCTTTTTAGTTAGAATTCTTGCTCCATTTAAGCCTACTCTTGGGTATGTGTTTTATAAGTGGTGACATCTCCGTCCTTCTGGTTGCTTATGCCAAAAACCCTTACAGCCATCTTGGACTCCTCTTTCATTCTCCCTCACATCCAATTCATTAGCAAATCCTGTGGCATCACCTTTAAAATGTATATATTATCCCACTGCTTCTCATCATCTCCACAGCTACTTTTCTAGTCTGTGCCACTATGTTCTCTCACCTGGATAATTGCAGCACTTCCTATCTGATCTTCCTTCTGGCCTTGGCCTAACTCTCTATGGTCTAGTCCCAAGAGAGCAGCTAGAGTGAACCCCTTACAACTTAAGGTAGATTATGTCACTCCTTACTTCAAAACCTTCCAATGGCTTTCCATCTTACTTAGAGTAAAATCCAAAGTACTTGTAGAGGCTTACAAATCCCCTGTTATCTTTTGAGCTTTTCTCCTATTACTCTTCCCTCACTCACTCCATTATAGGCACACTGGCCTTCTTTCTATTCCTTGAACTCGTGAATGTAACTCCACCTTATGTCACTTGCACTGCCTGTCTCCTTCTCTTGGGAATGGTCTTTTCCCAGATAACCACACAGCTAACCTCCTCAACTCCTTTAAGTCTTTCCTCAAAAGTGATCTCAATGAGGCCTCCTTTACCATTCTATATAAGATTGCAACAGCACCTCCAATCTTGTTCCCTCTTTCTATGCTCCATTTTATTCTTTTTCCATGGCACTAATCACCTTTTTACATACTACCATGCCATTTACTTCTTATTTATTAGATTGTATGTAGAATATAAGCTCATGTGGTCAGCAGCCTTTTTCAGTTCAGGGATGTGTCCTGAATGCCCAGAACAGTACCTGGAATGTGGTAGGTGCCTAGTAGAGTTTTTTCAGTTGAATAAATTGATTATTGTAGTCTTAAATAGATTTTTAAAAATCTTAACTGCACAATAACAGTTCAAGTCATTTAATGTAGCAGACAAAGGCATGAGGTGTGTCTAAAAAAAGCCAATGGGATTAAAATTAGATATTTGTGTAATTAGATCCAGTGTCCAAAAGCAAAGAAACTAAATGGGATAAACAGAAACAAAAACAAAATGCCATAAATCCAATAAACACCACCACCAAGGGACAACAAAAATCCAACTCTGTGCTGCCATAGTGTTTTATCACCATAACTGTTGATTTACATTGTACACTCTTCTATAGAAAATGATTTCCATGGCAACATGTCCAATTTCTAGCTTATGATATGAACCAGTAAAAACAACATCAGAAACACTCCCCCAAGCCACAGAAAAACATAAAAAATAAACAAAACATTGTAGCATGCATATAATTTATATATATGACTGTAATAAGAAAGTAGTACATATGAAGCAATACATTATTCTCATTTTAAAATTAAGCAATTTATAGCAAATTAAGTACAAATTAGTAAGTACTAATGCTTTAAAGAATATTACAGTCTAATTTTTTGCAATCAGCATTTGAAATTAAATACTCATAGGATGCTGACACTTTATATGCAAGCGCTAACTGATCATGTCGGTTCTGATTTCCTACAGAAAGATTTCAATCTTGAGAGCAAGATCAATGGCATCCAGGGGGGATTGTCTTTAATTACCATTTCTTTCATAGTCTAAAGGGACTCTTTGGACTAGAGAAGCAACTAACATTTTATTTTGACAGTTATTTGAATTATAATAAATAATAGGAGGCTCTTACACAGTACATTTATGGTTTTGGAGAAGCAATCTGCAGAGAAATCCATTTTGTATAGTTTCAGTGGAGGTCAGTGGGGCCACTACAAAAGAGAGAGAAAAAGGGGAGTTACTAGAACATGTAAAAGTCATGTCATTTTTAAAGTAGTGCTCTTGCTCTTCGATCACACTGGAGACTCCATTGCTTCACAAGCCAGTCTTCTCACCTGGAATGAACCACTTCTTTTTTTACTAAATCAAGCCTTCTTCACTTTTCAATCCCTCTTCCAAAGTTTTCCAAACAGCAAATAATAATAATAATAATTTCTGGTTGTGTGTGTGTTTTGGAGCAATTGTTGATGTGGAGCCTTGTCTCCCTCTACTCATTTAGGACCAATTCTGAAATTTTTCTTAGAAGTTACTAGCAGATCACATCAATTACTCCATGATGACAGACCCCATTGCCAAGTCTCAAGCCTGTCACCCAATGTTCCAAGGCTGTATGGGGTTTTAGGACTAAACAAGGTAGGATTTGGCACCCTTTTATATGTATGTGGCTTTCTCTGTTACACAAAATCAGCCTGCATTGAATTGCAATTCCTCAAAGGTGTTTAATCTTTCCCCAACTCTCCCCCTGGACTTCCACTACCATAGGATTAGAGTGGATGGCAGCTGGAACAGCAGGCAAAGGTGACCAGGAGATACCACTATGCTTAAGACTTGGTTAATATGTCAAGCTTGCTGTGACTGGGTCCTTCTTCCCTTAGAAATGGTGTTCTTAACCTGAGTCCATGGGACCTGACTGGGTCTGAATGGACTACAGTGGATATATGAGCCTTGTGAATTTGTACAAACATTTTGTCGGTGTGTGAATTTAACGGGAGTTTTTTCAAAATTCCCCAAAGGTGAATAATCACAGCAAATTAGCTTTCTGTCACCTCATGAAAATATATGCCTAGTTTGTCCATCTCACAAGTTTTGTGGACAGCTGGGAAATATCTGAATTCTACAATTTTTGGTTCAAACTGGAACAATTCTCCACTTCTACGCTCACCCCTAACACCACATCAATACAAAGTACTTGGTTGGTAGCTAGTTACAGCTGGTGGTAATGTCTGGTAATGTTTAGGAGCACCGCCTTGGAGATAGGCAGAGCTGGACTTAAGTCCCAGCTCTATCACTTTCTAACTAGCCTTGGACAAGTTACACAGTGTATCAAAGCCTAAATTATAAAATGGGTGTAAGAACTATACCTATTTCAGAGGGTGATGGTGAGGAATGTGAAAAATGAATGGAAAAGTACATGCTCGAAATGCATGGTAAAGTTCAGGCTTTGGAATAACAATAAGTACTTAAAAAATATATTGATGGACTGATTAACTGACTGAATCACCCCTTATATCTTTTCCCTACCTCTTACATGTCCTCAGTAATACTCAAAAGGCAGAGAGGAAATAACAGCCACCTGACGACTGGATCCAGATAGAAAATGTCCCCCTGTACCTACATAGCTTTCCAGTCCTCCCACACACTCCGAGAACTGAGCATTAGATATTTAGAAACACATATTCATGCTTAATCTGCCTTTAACAAACTCAGATTCCCCTAGATTGGGCTCTTTATTTCACCACTTTCCATGTGTAAAACATTATTGATAATAGATTGTAAACACATTTAGGGCAAACAGAGTTTTATTTATCTTTTTCTGCCACAAAGCACATTGTCTTATACTCAGATTTCAAAAACTCTCACTGATTTCTGATACTCTGGGAGGCACATGTAAGTATTAAATATTGTGTTAAAATATTTCTAGAACAAAAGTGAATGAGATCATTTTGGTGGTTAATAGTCATTATCTTTTAAAGACAGGATCTTCTTAAATCTCAGCATTATTGGGGAGCCCAGGTGTCTCTGTGTTTAAGAGAATTGGAAGGAGATGAAACTTTCCAGCTGGATGGTCCTGGCTTCAATATTCAACTGTTTAATGGGCAGCTCTTCAGGCCAAGCACTAAATGTCCTTGTGCTGGTGCCAGTGGCAGGTGTCTCACCCCAGCCACAGAATTCCACTGCACCCTCAGTTCTGAGAAAACTTGATTGCAGATAGTTGGCTCAGAGTAAACTGACAAGTCTTATGATTAAGGAAGAAAATTATTTTCCAACTGGAATGGAATGGGAGACTTTCTTTCACCTGGCTGATTCTTCCAGCATGCTGCGTATAATTGCATCCTCTAAGTTGGCTCCCACGTTATCATCAACTTCTTTCTTAGTCTATACCTTTGTCTTCCCTGGATCCTTACAGCTGTCTCTACAAACAAACCTACATATGAGCTCAATCCCAGGTCGTGTTCCTGCCTGAGGGAGGAAATATATCAGTCCTATGCCACTTAGGCCCAGCCTTACCCACTTGAGAACACAAGGGCGTGCCTTTGGACCTATTCCACAGGGCTACACTTTTTTTTCCCCCCATCTTTGTTACCACATCTGCCTCTAGACTGAAAGCTATAATTGATGATCAAATTCTAGTTTGATAATTCGTGTAAAATAGGTTTTCATTGTAATATATTTTGATACTAATGTTACAGAAATTTTGAGCATGTTGGATTGGATTTGACCTAGGGATATAAATCAGATTAAACTTCAGATTTTGTTTAGTTCAAATCAGTTTAGTTCAAATACCTAGATGGGAAATTTTTATGATATCAATTTGTCCAGATGGCTCACATTCCTGATCAAGCAGGCCTGGTACTATGAGACTATAAACTCACTGATGGCACACCCATGTCTTCAAAAATCAGTCTTGGAATAAAAAGAAATAGATGCCTTTTATTTGGAGGGGTTGCCTTCCTTTCAAAGAGCAAGCACCTGGTGTTCTTCATGAATTTTTCCTTTTTTGGTTAAACATTACAAGGAGAGGTAAAACTTTTCCATGTTCTTCAGAGGGCTCCTCTTGTACATCCATTGCTAGCGTAAATTGAAAAGCTGAATCCCCCAGAGACACAATAAAAAGTATAAACATGGCATATGACCACAGGAGTGTCAGAGTGTCACTCTCTGGGAAGCCACAGATTGAGGGAAGCACTGCAGAGGAGGGCAGGAGCTGAGCCACAGTGTCTGCCTTCTACCTCTTCAGATGATCCTCTTGGCAGCGGATAAGGCATCTATGAGCTGAGGGACTCTAGGGACTTGGAGTACGCAAGTTCCCATGTCCTGTTGGTTCCGACGCCAAGATCAAAAGATGTGGTAATCAGAACACTTTGTCTAGGCTTTCCAGCCTGGCTTATGATATATCTGGAGAGCCTCAGGGATTTCCTAGTGGAATGTCATGGCTCTCAGCATGAGTTAAGAATCAGAACTGAGAAAGCAAAAAAGGTTTTTGGTCATCAAGTGGCTGATGTATTCTGGTTCTTCTGGGAACCCACCTGTAGAAGGAAAAGCTGCTGCCTAAAATCAGTGGTTCTTAAATGTTCATGTGCAGAAGAATCATCTGAGTAGCTTTTTCAAAATGGGCCTCACATCCAGAAATTCTGATTTGGTAGCTCTGGTTCATGGCCCACAAACACATATTTTGAATAAGCACCCTGAATAATTCTGACCTGACAGTCTAGAACCAGTTTGGAAAACACTAAGAAAGCAAAACCCAAATATTTATGACTTATGGCTCAGTGTCCACATTTCTCATAGTTCAGGGAGTCATTCTAGAAAAGTGACATTTTTTAAGGTACAGATAATGGAGGACATAGCTCTGAGTATCCCAAAAAGACCATCTACCTGCTGTTTTCTGGCTCGCAGAATAAGCACGAGAATGTGGCTCGGTTGGTAATGTCGTGGGCATTGGTTGGAGGAATGCTATTATAGCATGCTGTGTGTTTTCTGGTACTAATCCATCTTGCTAAGGCTCTCTCCATCATTGGATCTGGAAAAGGAGCCTGAGCTGGGAGTCAGGAGACTTAGTGTTAGTTTCTTCAAATATGCATGAAATTGAGCAAGTCATTTCACTGATCTGAGTCCTAGTTTCCTCACATGTAAAATTAGAAGGTTGGTGCAGATAATTTTAAGGTTCTTCTAAATTCCTCTGTTGTGTGTATATGCCTGTGAGTGTGTGTATTTTCTTTCTATGAATTTTTCTGAGTACCTAAAAGAAAGAGTCAGGCCACTAATATTCCTGCATTATTGCCATGTCATTGTTGTCATTGTCATTATTTCCTTCCCCAAAGAAGAAATTGTATTGTGCTTATAAGGTCAAGAAGTGACCTCACAGCTGCTAGGCAGCAAAATATTTGTTTTAGATTTAGAAAATCTTCATCACCTGTTTGACATTTTCTTCCCCTATTCCCATTTGATAGCATATATTTTGTTTCTGTTCTGGACTTGGTTACCATAATCCTCTGTATCCAGAAGGTAGCAGACTATAGTAGGAAACCGTATAACATAACTGCTAGACATGCGGACTCTTTGGTCATAAAGACCAGATACAGGCTCCTGTTTCTGAAACTTACTGACTATTTAATCCATGGAAAATGTCTAAACCCCTCTAAGTTCAATTGCCTCACCTGTGAAATGGGCATAATAACAGTAACTACCTAGTATAGCTGTTATGAGTCTTGATTGAGAAAATGCTGTAAACAATTTAATGCAATTCTTGGCATATAGTGAGAGCTCAGTCAATACTAGTTTTTAGGATATGCCAGAAGTTCTCAACTCTGGCTGTACAGTAGAATCACCTGGGAATATTTTAATACATTCCAATATCTGTGCTCCACCTGAGACTAATTCAATCAGTATTTCCCAGGATGGAGTCAGGGCACAGGTATATTTTGAAAGCTTCCCAGGTGATTCTGTGTGTGGCCTCAGTTGAGAGCCTCTAGTATTGGCCAAGTGTGATACAGAAATTAGAGAGAAGAGGATTCATTTTTCCTCTCATGTACATGTGACTATTAGACACAGTCAACACAGCTGATACAGACCTCCTCAAAGACACAGGAGAGAGGCCTTCGGTAATCACTACAGTGTTATTCTCTAACTAGACCCTGGCTGATGCCCCAGAGGCCAAGGCCATCCTTTGGTAGCAAGAAAGCAAGACATTTATTGGAGAGTCTATTTCAGCCTTTAGAGCCCAACATGTTCTGAATTTTGTGATCTCTGGTTTTGAGAGGATTTTTCACAATCCCTTCTGGTTCAATTGCTATTAAAAAACATAGCACAACAAAAAATAATCTATTGAAGCTGTGAGAGTTATATAAGGAGGGCGACATTTTCCTGAGAGTGAGTGAAGATGGGTTTGGACCTTTTGGTGGTTCAGTACGGTTTTTCACTGGTTGTTGGTCCCCTAGTCCAACTCCCAGCCCGGAACAGGCCCAGTGATGTTGATTAGATTCTGGGGCACTTTCCCTTGAGTGAGGGCAATGAGGGGCCACTTTGGCAGCCCTAGCCTTGGAGAAAGCTCTATTTCCAGGCTCTGGCCTCTACTGTTGTGATCCTAACTGATTTTTAAGCTTGGATTTGTCCGAATGGGTAGGTCACATACCAGACTTCTCTAGAAGCTTTTCAAGACTTGTGGCTATACTTTGCCAGGGCTCACCTTAGAGAAGATCTGTTCCTGAAGCTCTGACATGAATTCAAATAAATGAAAGGACACCTTTTACCTGGAATGGGCTGAATCAGCACATACCCACTGAGGTAAGACAATTGCCTACACCATGTACTCTGATGGGCTCCAACACTCCTGGTTCACCCAAGGAGGCTCCAAACATTTCTGCCACAGGCTCCAAATTTATGCATTCCATCCTTGGGGGCAGGGGGAGGGGGCCGCTTTGAAGGCTGCTATTAAAGTACAGAGTGGAGGGAAATAGGGTACTTATGGATACAAGGAGAGCTGAAGTATTGGACAGTGGATGAGCAGTGAGAGGACAATAAATGCCCAGAGTGGGCAACATGGAGAAGGAATGTAGTGGGAAGCCATAAAGCTGCTTCACTGGCTAGTGGACCTCTGGTGTTTTACCTTCCCAACATCCAAAATCAGACAGTACAGGTCTACCTGTCCCCATCCTTGACCCCTGATACAGTGATGGGTCTGGAGGTACTAATGTAACTCAAGGAGGGCCTATCGGAGTTCTTTTTTGGGACTGATATAAACAATGAAAACCAAATGCTGATGATGACTGGCCATCACCACAAGCAGAGAGTATGCCTTAGAAGGAAACAAACATGGAAGAGGAGAGAGAAGGAGGGAGAGACCTGATGGTTCTGCGTGCCTGAACCTGGCCCACTCCTTGTTCTCCCCAACAACGTGAGCCAGTCAGTTTCCTTTTTTAAATGAGTAGAGTTTCTGTCACAGAAAGTTTCAGTATAATCCATTTCACAATCTTGACAAGAATTGGCCCTCCACAGGCCAGTAACAATAGAATCTTTTCCTCAGACTTACCTTGAGCAGGCTGCCTCTCCTAACAGGAAAGCCCTTGAGCAGTACAGTTCATTCAGAACTATTCCCTTTGTAGTCATTATTCTATGGTCTGTTCCTCATATTTATCTTGCCCCCGGTGGATTGAAACCTTCTCAGTTGCATTCCAGATTTAGACCGAGAACACCTAAACTCAGGGCCTGATATAGAGGCCTCGTTCCTGCCTACTTTCATTCTTTTCAGCTGAGGCAGCTTCCTCAGTTAAATGGTGCCTTGTAACTGGTGCTTGTATGAAGGTGGAGGAGAGCAGAATCAGGACTGGGGCAGTCAGTACATCTAGTGATTAGAAGCCCTCCCTGACCTTCCCCTTCCCAGGAACCCAGTGCTGACATTGTGTGGATCCAGGAACTAAAATAATCCATCAGGGGCATTTCTCTGGGGGTAGAGAGGGGTCTTTAGAAAGAGACATACTATAGATTATTCTGGCTAGATAGAGCTAATTGGATACTTTAGAAGAAAGCAGTGAAAACATGTTTTTAAGGAATTTGACCCACCCTATCCCAAGCAGCCTGGTGCTGGAGTGGGTGTCACTGTTGCTGGGGGTTGATTTAGAAGGGCAAAGTTTAGAAGACTCAGCTGTCTAAGCAGTCCTGGCCAGGAAGAGCCTTAGAGTAAATGTCAGGCTAAGAAGTGGTTCTTACCCAGGGGTGATTTACCCCCCAGGGGACATATGCAGACATTTTGGTTGTCACTGCCGGGGAGGGCGTTGCTGCTGCGATCAGTGAGTAAAGGCCAGAGATGCAGCTAGACATCCTACAGTGCACAGGACAGTCCCCACAATTATCTGGCCCTAAATGTTACTATCGCTGCAATAGAGAAACTGGGCAAAAGTCATTAGTGACAACTGGGAGATGTGAGGAGATCATGGACAGACAGACACAGAGGCGCTGTGATGGCGTGGAGGCAGCTGTGTGGGGTTGGTCTTATGCGGGAAGGTTGAGCTCACTTAAAGGTCCAGAGCAGACTTTCTTTCACTGTTTCATTTGCTTAACATGCTAAAGTAATTCATACTAAGGTAATTCAGTAAAGTAATTGTGGGCAGGGTCCATTTTTCATTTCTGTGTCCTCAGTGCCAAGCACAGAGTAAACTCAATAAATGGCTGTTAATTGAATGGAAATAAATGGAATGACGTGTCACAACATCTATCAAACACACATGTGTTTTACATATAAATATAAGGATATTTACATGTGTACATGCATATATATTGTTCTGCATACATACTTAGGAGGCGTAAAACCTGAGTAATCACCTGTGCATTTATTAACTATAAGACCTAGAGTAAGTCACTTAAACTTAATAATCTTGGTTTCCTCATAAATATACAAAAAAGATAATACTAATATTGATATTACAAGGGTTTTCTTTAAACTTTCTAAAATTGAGATATAATCACATGGCATAAATTTACCTTTTTAAAATGTACAGTTCAGTTGTTCTTAATATATTGAAAAATTTGTGCAATCATCACCACTATCTAATTTAAGTACATTTTCATCAGCCCAAAGGAAACCCTGTACCTATTACCTGGGACTACTGGGCCCCATTTCCCCCACTCGCTGGCAGTCACTAATCCATTTTCTGTCTCTGCAGATTTCTCTATTTTGGACATTTCATGTAAGTATAATCATACTGTATGTAGCCTTTGGCACGTAGCCAGTTTCACTTAGCATAATGTTTTCAAGGTTCCTTGATATTATAGAATATATCAGTAATTTATTCCTTTCTAAAGCTGAATAATGGTCCTTTGTATGGATATACCACATTTTACTTATGTATTCATCAGTTGATGGACATTTGGATGATTTTCACTTTTTGTCTATTATGAATAATGCCACTACGCACATTTTGTGTATAAGGTTTTGTGTAGACATATATTTCTATTCTCTTTGGTATCTAACTAGGAATGGAATTAGTGGGTCATATGATAACTCTATATTTAAACTTGCAAACAACTGCGAACTATTTTCCAAAGCAGCTGTGCCTTTTACATTCCCACCAGCGATGTATGAAGGTTCCAATTTCTCCACATTCCTAGCAACACTTATTATTGTCCATCTTTTTGATTATGGCCATCTTAGAGGGGATGACATGGTAACTCACTGTGGTTTTGATTTGCATTTCCCTAAAGACTAATGATGTTGAACGTCTTTTCATGTGCTTGTTGGTCATTTGTATGTCTTTTTCGGAGAAATATCTATTCAAGTCCTTTGCCCATTTTGTAATTGGTTTGTTTGCATTTTTGTTGTTGAGTTGTTTTGTATTTTCACGTATTTTGGAGAAATTTATTTAAAAAAGAATAGTTGACATATAGTGTGATGAGAGAGTTACTTCAGTAGGATACAAGTAAGGAGAGGTGGCATGTGGCTGGGGACACCAGCGAGTGTAACTTTTTCCTGTTTTTCCTATAGATGGCTGCTCTTTGGGTCAGGGGTTGCTCCTGGTCCAAAGAGCTGTGGTCTTAGGCTCTAAAGCATTGGAAATCTATGTATGAAAATTAGCTAATTTGTCTGAAGAGATGTTTAGAGGTGGCAGGCACTCAAGGTGTAGGTTCAGTCCAGTAATGATAGTTTTTTTGAGTTTTCATTTGCCATATGAGGAGAACGGTAGCCAGAGATATGAAGAATTTTACTCAGAATTACACAAGATTTAGTATTAGAACCAGGCCTCCTGACTTCCCAGTTCAGTGTTCATGCCCATGCCATCTTGTCACACAATTTCTACTTACTTCAAGAAGATTTATGAAACTTTATTCTAGTTCACACAAGGAATTTGAATGAGCCTTTGGAGGTTGTTATAATAGAAGATCTCAGAAAGTGAGAATGTTTGAATCATTGCTGTTTTGGGCTAAATTTAATGGAAAGGAAATTTCATCAATGTCATGGACAAAATAGTTACACTGTGACCAAAGGGAAGTGTTTTTCTTCTAATGGCTCTGTGACTGCCTCTCACTGGGGCCCAGGAATCTCTTCAGGCCACCATTATGTCCTTAACTCATTGCCGGCGAATCTGGGCCATGAGGGCCCGTCCTTTGTTAGCTCTACTCTTGTCTCAGCTACAGAAGATGAGAGGTGAAGCTATCTTCCTCTGCCTTTTGCTACAGACCTGTCAAGAACTCCGTCAACTAAAAGGAGCTGGAGTTGACTTGCCTCAAGGATAGGGATTCATAATTTAACACTGTCATCCTAGGTTTCATGACCTTCCTTATTTTAGGCTGCTTGAAGACTAGAACTCAAGACTGACTTTTTATCAAACCTGAAAAGATGTGCTATAGAATAAAGGGCCTGATGTGGAGTTAATTCTGCCACTTACTATCTGGGTGTCCTTTGGCGTGGTATTTTGCACCTCTGAATCTTTACAATGGGGATAATAATATCTATAATATTGTGAGGATTAAACAAGATAATACACATAAAGAATGAAGACATGTGTTTGGTATGTATGGGTAACACAATATGTTTTCCCTCTATCCTTGTAAAACACCAATTTATGAAAATTGTTTAATCCTCTCACCCATTTTCAAATGCAAAGTAAGGAAGCAGTTTAAGTGTTCCAAACCTGCTCAGAATGGAAATGTTTT